AAGAAAGACAGACAGACAGAAGAAAGCCACAGCATCCAGCCCCAGTCCCTGCAGCTCCTCCATCTGCACTGCGGAGCTGGACGGACCAGCCAGGATGTGGAGAGCACTGCTACTTAAACTCTTCCTCGTCTTCATATGCTGTGTTAGATGGTGCCAGTCTGAAGGTAAGTAGTGTGAGCTTTTTTATTTGAGTTTACTTTTATCTACTTTTTAAGATTATTTATTTATTTATTAGTTGTTTTGTGCTTTTTCTCACGTTGAGTCTGTGCACACAGGCTGTCAGCTGAATGATTCATTGAGGGACCTGCAGAGTTGTTGTGCTACTGGTGATTCACCCTGTGCACTTGTTGCTCATCAAAACAAAACTCCAGCTTCCCCTGTGCGGTACACACTAAGGGGAACTGGATTGAATTGCTGCTGAACTAAAATGCTTCTGTATTTCTCCTCACCTAATGGGTAAACACTTCAGGTTTTGATGAGCCATCGAAGAGGATAAATCAGCTTGAAACACATGGAAATACCTTTTCTTCTTGATGATTCAATAAAGAAAGAGAAAAGAAAAGCTACTGTTTTAACCTTTTAGATGTGGCTACTAGGTAGAGTAAATGTGGCTCTGGGGCTAAATGTTTTGCCACATAGTATTACTTTAAAGGTTGAGCACAAAGCCTTCCTCAGACAGATTGGAAGTTCTCTTCAGGAACTTTTGCCTGAGCTTTACTGTTGCTAGGTAACAGAAAAGAGCATGTGACTTACAGGCAATCTGCGAGGACTGAGAGCTACTGGTACAAATCTCATTCAGTGGAGCAGATTTTAACGCCGCAAAAAAAAACCCCCCTCCTCCCCTCCTCCCCACTGATTCAAACTTGATTCGGGGGCTTGAGTTGAGGGAAGAACTGTGTTTCCCTTAATGTGAGGCAGAGACGGACCCCAGAAATGCTCAGACGCTGCTCTTTGTACATGACAGTCTTGTGTTTGTCGCCTGTGTTTGTAGCCCAGCTAGATCCTGCTTCTCAAACTGTAATCTGCTTTCTTTTTGCTCAACCCTTAGTATATAAGCTCCTTAGTGTGAATCAAGCAACTAATTACACTGCAGCTGCTGCAGAATGGACCCATTTCTACCTAAGGTGCAGTTTGGAGTTAAGGAAAATGTACTAAAAGTTTGTGTCATGGCTACAGCTTTCTTATTTATTTGTTATGATAAATCGTAGACTTATTTCCTCACTGGCTAACAGACACACACAAACAGAAAAGGTGGAGTTATAACAGTGTTGCCACTGAGACTGGAGCATTTAGAAAATTCACTTGGCATTTCCTTTGAATTACAGCAGTCACAGTACTTTGCTGATGCTAACTGAGGTGTATAAAATGATGACTTGACTAAAACCGCCTGCTCTCAGAAGACTTTGTCAGCATGTCCGCATTAATCATTGTCTTGAATTTGTTGTGATTAACAGACAGTGGACTAGACTGCTTAAATAACATTCATGGGGTCATTTATGTTTAACCTCAGTTGTGAATAACCGTGCCATGTTAGAGAATGAAGTGCTTCCTGAAGGCTATCTGGTGGTGTGTGAATCGGACCGAAAGAGGTGTCACTTAATCATATACTCAGACAAATTAGCAATGGTGTATTTATGTAGTTTTACTATGAGGGCACAGGGTACTTTCTCTAATCTCTGCCTGATCCCCTGCAAAAATCCTTTAGTTTAGATAATTGTTTCTTCCATGACCTTCTGTAACACATTATCCAGCCCTTGGGCTTGATACTGCTGCAGAGTGCTTACGCTGGCATTAATAGCTAATGTGACAGTGAGGGGATTTCATGGTGCTGGTTCGTTAATGATCCTCTGCCATTTTTGCTGTTCCACACATGTTTTTTTAGTAAATTGAGTTGTTTTCTCCATTAATCATTCACCATAATAACCCATTAAGTGTGCAGTAAGAACTTTAATGGTGTTACAAATTAGGTTGTTATCACTAGGAAACTAATGAAAACACGTTAATGTAATTATAGTCAATGACTTCGTTAAAATGTTGTTATGTTCAGACTTTTCAAGACACACAGACTTGGCCAGCACGTGCATGTTAAACCTCACACATGCCGGCTTCTTTCCGGTGTAGGAGCCTAAATCCTTGTGCAACAGTTACACTGCGTTAGAAACAGGAACACAGTTGGCACAAATGGAGAGAAAATCCTTTCTTTTCCTGCAGCTCTCTCAGTCTAGGTTACAGAGGATGGAGTTTAGCCTCCAGTAAACAGTTGGTGAGCCGATACTCAACGTAAAGAGGAAAAATAAGTTATCCAGTGGCTCACTGCATTGTGACACCTTAATTTATGTTTCTTTTCCCTCATGTTTTTGTTAAGACACGTACCAGAAATCATGTTGAGTATTCCTCAATTCTAACCAGACTGAGGCTTTATTCCTCACTCCATTTATCCCTCCCTTTTGCTCCCATGGCACTGCCAAAGCCCCTTGGTTTTTCACTGTTTTGTGTGTAGCAGTAAGAGCCAAAGTCACTTGTTTGGCAATTGACTGCATTCTGTTGCATTGATTTCCATATGAAATAGGCAGCAGCACTTCGCTCTGACAGCATGGACAGGTCCAGCGTTTCATGCTGCCAGCAGCCGTTTTCTCCACTTTTCTCCACACACATTCAGTGTGTGCACAGGGCTGGGCCAAAACAAGACGGTATTGATGAAAGCTTGAAGACATCTTTCAGGCGCGCCACGTGACAAGGAAGAGATGTTTCGGCGGGTAGTGGACAGGTTGTTTTCTTAATGGGTGGCCGCGAGAGGGGAGCTTACCTTATCGCAGGAAGTAGCCTTACTGTACTCTGATTTCTGCTGTGTGGCTTTTTTAGGGTGACACTTCCAGTTATGAGTTTGCATCCCTGCTGGCACCTCTTTTGTGCCATTGTAATTTCACAGTGGGGTTTAAGGCGTTTTGGGGGGCTTCATTCTAATGAAAATTCCTCTACTTCTCTTCTTTGTTGGGCAATAGTAGGGCGTCCTTATCTTCTTGCATGGATGGTGCGGTGCTCTGTCCTGCTGTGGATTTAAGTTGCTAATTAGAAAATACAAGGCTAGAAAGAAGGGAAAGGAAAACATTAAATCACTTACACTTACTAATAAATAATAATAATAAACTAATAAAAAAAGCATGGCTCATCAGACCCAGATTAAGAATTCCTAATAGCAGATTTGCACTACTCACCCTGGCCTTTACCTTCCCTAATATTGACTGACTAGTGAAATTGTGACTTTGTTAGGACGAAGACATAGAAATTTGTGGATTAAGGAACAGATACAAAGAAGACGTTCTTTTCAGAATGTAAGAAGATCCCTAACACAAGATAGTGCTGTTGAAAAGTTCAGCTTCAGTGTATCTGTCACCTTTCCCAGAAGTAATACTGTCAGGAAACACTGGCTGCATTTGAAAGCCTCCAGCAGATTGGTTTCTCCTTGGCATACGTTGTTTTAAGTTGTCAACCAAGGTCTGAATGTATGGCAGCTATAAACGTCTTCATCCCTCCCAAAGCACATTTGATTTAATGTCAATTAAGACAATTTTGTCTCTGTTTTTGAAACTTTGTGGACCTGTACAGACAGTGGTGATGTCTGAACATGCAATATTGTCTGTGTGTACTGAGTGTGCCCTTCCCTGTTAAGGAAAAGTATTCTTTGTTAAACAGAGCACATCTCGTAGCCGTTTGTGTACTGTATGCAACACTTGCCCATGCTGCCATACTATAGATGATGCTTAAACCTCTGGGATCACTGCCTTGCAACAAAGGCTCCCTTTGAGCAGATTGGGAGCAATTTTATCATTAGTAAACTGAGCAGGAAAAACAGGATTGCCTCCTGCATAGCTGCCGAAGGAGTTAAATATGCAGCTTGTTTTGCTGGGTTGGTCGTAAAGCAGTTTGGTAATTTGCTGGCTAATTAATCTTAGACAAGAATTCTTGATCGGAGCGTATGCAAGGCTTTTAGAGCGGTAGCACAGGCAGTGACCCCCCCACTGTTGTGGAAGAGATCCATCTTTAAAAGAGAACATTACATAAAGGAGGTGATAAACCTCTGACTGTGAACACAATCAAAGTCTCATTCAGGCTGCATTTATCAAGCCAATAAGTTTGTTTGAAGGGAATTCATTTTTTAGTAGTTTACTTTCAAGACTTCTCATTTTCTGCTCAGGTAAACTCACATGTTGGCTTTTTTTTCCTGCCTTGTAACTATTATCTTCAAGCCATTAGAGGGGAATTGCAGAGCTATAATTATGGGTTTCTAAGTAAGCAATTCCAATATGATATAAAGTGTAAACTATTTGATCAAGAAGGAAAAATGTTTACA